TGAATTTTTGCTGTCTATGTAAAATTTTAATATACCACGTAGATTATATGAAAAATGTTCTACGGACACCCTACTCTTAAGTTTTATACAAATTTACAATACTAAGAGCAATATATGCCAAATACAAAAAGAAGTTCATTTTATAAGAAAAAAAAAAAGGCTTAACCTTTTTGCAAATTATCTAAAACACTCATTTTTTGATATATTATATGAGTAACGAAAAGGGAAAACCGATAAACCCCTAACAACCTGAGTAGTGTGATAATACACATCAGACAGCAAACAACACAAACACACTTCACTCCCAAGACCGTAATAACTTGGTCGAACGGGTAAATCAGCTTAATAACAAGCTGTGGAGACGCTGAAGAATAACCATCAGCTTTCTTTTCAAACCTTCAAGCATGGAAAACAGCTCTGAAGATAAGAAGCCCGTGAGCTTCAAAGATTACCTTAAAGGACAAAGGTCTGTTCCTGACCCAAATTCGTTATTTGTTACTAAAAGTTTCCTTCGCCTAAAGAATTTCGTCGATGAAAGAACAGCAGAGCTCAGCCGTGAGCGTATATTCACCTTGCTCTATTATGAACCCGCAGACAACAGGACCTACATGGCTCCTTGCCTGTACCTAGCTGGAAACAGCACCCGTATAATGACTTACGATGGACTCGCCATGATGAGCATGTTGTCTATTCATTCCTATGAGAAAAACCAAGTTTTCACCGACTACGTAGGAAGAGCTTTGACTACCGCCGACCGGGTAGTTTTTATCGAAAAAACCAACAAAATCGACGGCCGTTGCTTCGCTTTACTCCACGACGGATTAGAAAGCAGATTCTGCACGGCACTTTTGAGCGATAATAACGACCTGACCGACCTTAAATTCATCTTGGCTGGTGGCCACTCCAATGATATGAGTATACCGAGCAAGTTACAGACAAAGATTAAATTGATTGACGCTGCCGAGCGTGAAGAAATTGTTGACTCGATGAGGGCACAGCAACTTAGAGATCAGTTACCATATAAACCAGAGTTCACTAATCAGGAGATTTTTGAGCTCAAAAAACGCCACACCCCTATCACAAAAGTTGTACTTCATGATCACGCCCCACTTATCAACTCCCCATCGGTTAATGCCACCTCAATTCAACCCGAAACTAGCAAAGCCAAAAGTGTCAAGGTCCCAATTCACCTACCCCCCGTCAACGTGGACTACCTCAATCACTATTACCTAGAAAAACTGAAACTCGCAGAAGAGCGGGAAAAGTTTATACCTAAGCTTGGCTATACTGAACAATTTGACGACACTAAACCGTTCACCTCAGTCTTCCCTCATCACTCTAACAAAGATGAGGTTACGTTTTGGTGGTCAATTCGGGAACGGCTGAACTTCATGAGCCCCACCCGCAACAACCTTCAGCTTAAAAAAACCATAACCTGCATCCTCGGCTCACAACTCTTTGAATCTTTCCTGAGGGCCGTGCCTCTCAAACGCAAACTCCACTTTGACGAATCTCTGTACATCGATAAGATCGCTGAAAACGCAAATAAGCGACTACACAAGTCCCTAGCCACCCTGCTTAACATAACTGAGCGGGCTGAGACCTACTGGCCTGATAATTTCGCCGAAATTTTCATAAAAAGCCAAGTCCTAAAAAAACTTGAGAAAATGTGGAGCAGTGCGAAAGCCGGCCAAACCCTTGCTTCACTGCATGAATTTGCTATTTATATGATTGGTCCAGTAGTCAGAATGGTCAGTCATTACCTACACACTGAGCTTCACGCAATGCGCGAACGGTTAGATAGTGGATGCCCCCAACCCGGAGATAGATACCTCTTCATCCTCGGAACCAACGACCCAAATAAAATGGAAGGGTTCGTGCAATCCTACTGGCAGGACATCGAATGCCTTGCCAATGACTACACTAAATATGATCAGAGTCAGAATCACGAATTTCTGCACTTCGAGGACCTTCTTCACAACCATCTCGGAATTCCCTACGTGCTACGAGACATGTACGTGTGGTTGAAAACCAACACCAAAACGTTTTTGGGAAACCTCTCTGAAACCTATGACTATAACACGATCGGCAACATTGCTTACACCTTTTTGAATTTCACCATCCCGGTCACCATGCCCGCTATGTTCTCAGGGGACGATAGCTGCATCTGCGGGGTGCCCAAGGTCTCCTCACTATTCACAGAATTCGGTCATGAATTCGCATTGCAGGGAAAACCACAGATTGACCGCAACCCTATCTTTTGTGGCTGGTTAATTAAAAAAGAAGGCATACTCAAGATCCCGCGCTTGATTCACGCTAGAATCAATATCGCGATTGAGCGAAAAAATCTCGAAAATGTCATTTCCAGTTACGCTGCAGAATCTCACTTTGCATTTAGTAAAGGCGCAGCCCTCTGGGACCTCCTAGATGAGCATGATTTGCTAACCCAGTCATACCTAAACCAATTTTTCTTTGACAATTCTAAAATGATCCCAGAGCAATTTCATCATAAATGAACCACATGAACACTTTAATTAAAGGCAAGTTAGACGTACGATCTGGAACTAACCTCTGCTGCAGAAAAGCGAAACCAACGTAAACTGTTTCCAAATCAAAGCTTCAAATTTTGGCTTTTAAAAAAAAAAAAAAAAATAAAAAAAAAATAAAAATAAAAGTCTTTTTGTGAAACTAACTCAACTATAAGCAACAAAGGCAGACGTGGCCTTTTCTTTTATCTATACCTTGAA